TGTGTGAATATAAACATTGCATTATCCTTGTGTATATATAAACATTGCATTATCCTTGTGTGTATATAAACATTGCATTATCCTTGTGTGTATATAAACATTATATTGACCTTGTGTGAATATAAACATTGCATTATCCTTGTGAATATAAACATTGCATTATCCTTGTGTGAATATAAACACTGCATTATCCTTGTGTGAATATAAACACTGCATTATCCTTGTGTGAATATAAACATTGCATTATCCTTGTGTGTATATAAACACTACATTATCCTTGTGTATATATAAACATTGTATTATCCTTGTGTATATATAAACATTGTATTATCCTTGTGTATATATAAACATTGCATTATCCTTGTGTGTATATAAACACTACATTAATCCTTGTGTGAATATAAACACTACATTATCCTTGTGTGTATATAAACACTGCATTATCCTTGTGTGTATATAAACACTGCATTATCCTTGTGTGTATATAAACACTACATTATCCTTGTGTGAATATGAACACTGCATTATCCTTGTGTGTATATATAAACATTGCATTATCCTTGTGTGTATATAAACACTACATTATCCTTGTGTATATATAAACATTATATTTACCAGTTTACATATTTCTGGCCAAGTTGTTTTGATGTAGATGATGGTGTTATAATTATGTGGTTATCCAATGTAGTTATAAATACAATTAAGTGTAGAATTTTGTTTTTATTGGAAATAACAATACTAGTATAAGCTCTTGCATACACAGTATCAGTGTTATAATGTTTACAGATCAGATTTCTGTATATTCACAGCTGTGTCTACTCCAATTTTCCAGTTATTCATTATCTTAAATATTTTACAGTGTGCTGAATGGAACAACCTACGTGTATTTCACCTGTTTCATACCTTTCATTTATCAGGCATTTTTAGGTAGATTCTTCAGGTAAGGGCTAGAAAACTACAGTATTATATCAGTAATTACATACGCGAATTATATTACATATCCTCTTTTAAATTCTCTTGAGTAAAGTGTTATGTTTAGTCTAAAACTTTCATCATGATTTTAATTTCTGAACTGAAAGTTCATCTTATGTTTTCTGTACTTCATTAGTTGAAACATTGCTGTAAGGTAGTTGTGCTATATTAAACTTATTTTTTGCGTGTATATAACTTTTAATTATTCTAACATTGGTAGCTCCTTAGAACCCAGCATCATATTCTCCTACAAGTCAGACATGGAGGAACTTGTGGACGAGAATCAAGTTTCTTTTTCATGTCTTTCAACTAGAAAAAATACATACTTCAATACAGAGGTAAAATTTTCATTGCTGTTTGTATTGAAACTGTTCTTACATTATTATTCCATATCTGCTTGTAGTTCTGGATAACTTTTATTATTGTTTTCTATTTACGTCTTTAACCATTACCTGCCTACTAAAATCTATTGATTATTACTGTTATCTTTAACATGAAAAAAAACTTAGAAATTAAATGGGCTTTAAAATATTCACAAAAAAATTAAGAGGAATGTGGAAAAAAAATAATCTGCAGGTGTGTTTCTCTACTGTGTTGTTAGACACGTAAACCACCAACGTATAACACAGTTGTGTTTCTCTACTGTGTTGTTAGACACGTAAACCACCAACGTATAACACAGTTGTGTTTCTCTACTGTGTTGTTAGACACGTAAACCACCAACGTATAACACAGTTGTGTTTCTCTACTGTGTTGTTAGACACGTAAACCACCTACGTATAACACAGTTGTGTTTCTCTACTGTGTTGTTAGACACATAAACCACCAATGTATAACACAGTTGTGTTTCTCTACTGTGTTGTTAGACATGTAAACCACCTACGTATAACACAGTTGTGTTTCTCTACTGTGTTGTTAGACACGTATACCACCAACGTATAACAAAGTTGTGTTTCTCTACTGTGTTGTTTGACACGTAAACCACCAACGTATAACACAGTTGTGTTTCTCTACTGTGTTGTTAGACATGTAAACCACCAATGTATAACACAGTTTTGTTTCTCTGCTGCGTTGTTAGACATGTAAACCACAAATGTATAACACAGTTTTGTTTCTCTGCTGCGTTGTTAGACATGTAAACCACA